GAGGCCGGCCTCTTGTGTTCCTTAGAGGCTTTGCCCTCAGCTCTAGGGACGCTTGGCGGTGGGGGGGATGGGATGCGGGTGAGTGAGCCACAGTGAGATGTGCTGTGAGTGGGGCCGTCTGTGAATCCCCAACCTTCAACGGAGCCTTCTTGGCCTGAGAACCTATGGCCTGAGCTCAGCCTGTCAGCACAGGCTTCTCGAACCTTCTGGGGGGGAATGTTGTGCAGACTATCTGGGCCTCGTTTCTTTCCCCATCTTTGCTTCTCCCCTCTTGGAAGTTAGAGTAGAAAACTGGGCCTTAGGAGGTGAGAAGGGCCAACCCAGGAGACAACACTCATGAAGAAACAGGGAGACAGAAGGATCTGTGATTTGGGGTGGTGGGAGGAGGAGAAAGGGACGATTCATGGCAACTGGGTTCTTTTCTGGAGAATGTGAGCTTCAGGTTCTTAGGCCAGGGTCTCTGGTTGACAGATTTGTTGGAGTGACCTCAGCAATGATTATCAGGGGAAAGATCCGAGGGAGGAGATGGCTCAAAGTTACTTCAAATACTCCTTCCCATAAAGATGAGTTTTCCTCACTACAATTAGTCCACTAGCTTTTAATAGTCCTTTTTAGGATTATTAATTAGGATGTATTTGATGTAAACATTTAGAAAACGCATCTCCCATAAACTAGAAGAACGTGCTTGAAGGTTCCTCATTTGCGCTTTCCCAGCAAGCCTCTTTGGCTTCTGGAAGGACTTGCTATTTACAACGGACCATCTGCCCCGGGGCTCCTTTTACAGTTAGGATTATTGCTAAAGGGGAAGAAACCTTATCCCCTCCCGTGTGGGTCTCCAGGTGACCATGGGGGTGGGGACAAGCCTCCGTACAGGCCCAAATGCAGCAATTAGGCAGTGTAACACGGCTGGGTATGGGCATGGTGGTTATCCTGAGAAACTTCTGGAAGCTTTCAGAATCCATCCCTTCATTCATACCGAGGTTTCCTGAGGTATCAGCAGGTGTCACTGGCAGTGCCTGTGAATATATGTAGTCAGCCCAGGGCCTGTGAGGAAGCCAAGGGTCTGGGGGGCTCTCCAATTCCCCCCGACCCCCAATCAATGAAGCACCAGCAGCAGCTGCATCTCCTGATGGCCTGGTCCCCAGCTCCTGTGGCCTTGGGGGTATGCTAGCCAAACTGAGAAATAAGATTGCAGTCCACGTGCTGCTCCTTGGAATATCAGCCCACGGTAGAATCCGAGGCATGGATGAAAAGGGACTTTGGAGATGAGAGGGTCCAAGTCTGGGCCCTGCACCGACACTAAGGGCTTCTGCTCCCCTTTGTTAATGTGAAGGCGGTGACGTCCCTGTACTCCTGGGAGAGGAGCGAGGTAGAGAGTTGTCAGAGGGCTCCGCAGCCCCGGCCTACTGCGGCAGGTGAGGAACTGGGGACCCCACCCTGTCAGGCCAGTCCCTGTGGTGGGATCAGACCCTTTCTATGAGTGCTCATCCCTCCACGTCCCTGGATCACTCTCCACCCCCAGGCTGGGGCAGTTCCTCAAGAACCAGCTGCCATAGAGGCCAGAGAACTTCATCATTGCCCTAAGCAGCTGCTCTGCTTTTCTGGGTTCATCTTGGGGTAGTATGAATGCTTTAAACAAGGGCAATAATTTTCTACTTAGAGGGCCACTGGTTCATTTTCAGGCTGCGTTCCTGCTTCCCACTCCCTGGGTGGCTTGTAGTTGCAATTTCCTGTCCCTCCCTTGCTTCTTACATATCACAATGCTCTGATGTCCCAGACCTGGTTCTTTCTGGCTCTTTGTTAGGAAGTACCTCTTTGTCTTGATTAAGCAGCAGTGCTAGGCGGCATGTTCCCAAAGAGCCACTGGGGTTATGGTCTCTGCCTGGAAGAACATTCTGTCCATCTTTCCATCTCTGGCCCCACCCTCCTGAGCCAGCAGGTTCAGTGCCAGGTTACTCTGGTATAGACAAGAAGAATTGGGGGAGCTTCCCTGCTGAGGTTGGTAGGGGTGCCCTGGGGCTACTGCTGGTCCCTCTGCTTCCCAGCTTGCTCGAGAGTCAAAACACTTCTGAAACTTTTTAAAACATCTAAGAACCTTCTCGTGGGTCCCTGCTCCTCACTCTTGCCCAAAACGGACCTGGCATCAGTGAATCCAGAGAAGCAGCAGGTTTTTTCTTAGCAGCAACAACTTTGCATCCTGACTTTGTTTCCCTGCCCCTGGTGCCAGATGATATTGAAGGCCATGCAGCCTGAGCTGCACTGACCTTTCCCTCAGTCCTGGTACAGCGGAGCCAGGACCATGTGGGGTGCTGAGGAAGCAGAGGTGATGGTGGTCACAGAGGTGACCCTCATGCTCATACCACCAGCCCGAGTCACGTTCCCTGGCCTTGTCCCCGGGGAGGGGAGGACAGAACTGTGGGGGAAGGACAGGGGACCAGTGAGCTTGATGGGGTATGAGGTGTCCAGGGGCTCCATAAGCACTGGCTCTGCCTCTCCACTGCCACCTTCTCCCCTCCTCCGTGTCTCTCTTCCCTGGGGGGTAAATCTTAGATCTTGGCAAGATAACAACCCTCCCCTTAAAACAGACAGGAGAGAAAAGCCCTATACCCAAGGTGACATGTAACTTATATTTGGAACCCAAATGTTTCAATGGATGATCAAACATCCTGGTTTGCCTGAGACTAGGACTCAGGGTTTCTCAGGATATGGACAGCTGGTCACCCTGCTTTTGAAAATGAAAAGGTACATGACTATTCATTCAATTTATGATACTTTGATTTCCCTTACGATTGCTTCTTTGGTCAATGGATTGTTTAAAGATGTGCTGCTTGATTTCCAAATATTTAGAAATTTTCTCTAGTTTTCTTATGTCAAGTGCAATTCCATTTTGGTTAGGGAACATTCTTTATATGACTTTTAACCTTTTTCAATGTATTGAAACTTGTTTTGTCATCCATCATATGGTCTATTTTGGTGAATGCTCCATTTGCAGGAGAAAAGAATGTGTGTTCTGCTGTTGCTGGGTAGGGAGTTCCACAAATGTCAACTAGGTCAAGTTGCTTGACAGCTTTGTTCAGATCTTCCACATCCGTTGTCTTCTTGCTCTACCATTTACTGAGAATGGGGTAATAACATTTCCAGCTAGAATAGCAAAACAAACCCAAACCCTCTCCTGATTGGAGGGTTCCTGAAATTAACCATTTGGAGGAAATATGGTAAAATGAACTCACAGTTGTCAAACTGCATTCTAACCTCACTATGATCCCATCACTGTGGGCTTTAGTGGCTAGAAAGATCTAGCATCTCTGTTTGCTTTGGAAGCTTATTTTTGCCGAGGTTGTTATCACCAAGTAGGCGCCAGAGCTCTGTTCCACTCGCAGTTCAACTACGGTGAAATTCAGACAATGAACTTGTGTACTCCCCTTGTAAGAACGTCCAAATGGAATGCTTTGCCCTGGCCAAAAGCAAAGTCTCGGCCTCTTTTGATATGTGAGACCTCAAGGAAGCTTTCTCTATTCCCAGACTTGGAGAACTGTGTTGAACTGGAAAAGGGATCAGGGAGGCCCACCCCAGGCCAGGCCTCCAGTTTTCTTTCCACTGCACTGTCCACTTCACCACCCAGTTCCTCCCTGTGATTGGCCGGGGGAGCTGCTAAAAGGGAGGCCAGAGGGTGGCTTTGCCCTGATGCATCCCCCACCCTACAGACTCGAGGGAAGAGGCAAAGCTGGTAAAACAAAGCAAGGTCCACTCCTGCTCTTGCCGATGACAGAGGACCTCCCGTCTCTCCTCCTTCCTCCAGGTTGCAGGTCTGGCTGCTCTGCCTGCAGCTCTGTGAGTGTGGAGCCTGGGGCTCTCTGGTCCTTCCTGTCCCCACCGCATGCTGGAACTTGATATTAAAGAGGTTGGAGAACAGAGTGGGCAGTGCTCTCACCCCATCACCCACAGAGAGGTTTCTGGGTCTGACTTCCCTTCTCCAGATGGAAGCATTTGGCCCCTTGGTTCTAATATCTCATGAGCTGTATACCTAGACTGGATTTCTAAATCTGCCTAGAGAGAGACTGAGATTGAGCCATGCTACTCTCTAAAATTGCCATAATTCTACCTGGCTGTCCTGGGCTTCTGAGGTGGCTCAGTGGTAAAGAATCAACCAGCAATGCAGGAGATGTGGGTTTGATCCCTGAGTTGTGAAGAGCCTCTGGAGGAGGAAATGGCTACCCACTCCAGTATTCTTGCCTGGGAAAAATCCCATGGACAGAGGAGCCTGGTGGGCTACAGTCAATGGGGTCACAGTCGGACACAAATGAGCGACTAAACAACCACCACCTGGCTATGCCACAGCTACTTTCACTCTGGCTCATGCATGTGCCCTGAGCTGTTTCAGAAATGCTAGGTGTGGGGTCTTAATAAAGAGGTTTGTTTGAAAGCAAAAAATGATTTTGATTCACTTTGTGTTTAACTCTGTCTATACCTGATCACCATTCAGAACTGCTGCCCCAGTTCTCTCCTCTCATTTTCACAATCACAGGCAAAAACAGGGGTGGAAGATTCCACCTAGATTGTTGCTGTCCTCGAAAGTGGACAGTGGAGCAGGAGGCCTGGGTTGAGTCCCTGCTCTTGCTGCTTGCCGGTTGTACAACTTTGGGGAAGTCCCTGACCTTTGTGCAGTATGAGGGTGACCTATTGTCTCTGAGAGCACCTGTCGTTAGGGTGCAGTGCCTGGTGCTCCCTAAGTCTGTACAGATGTAATGGATGCAGACAATGTCATCACAGGGTGGTGGGAAGAGCACTGAGGCTGAGACTCGGGAGACTGGGCCTGGCTCTGCCTCCTACTGGGGGTGTGAGGCAGATTCTGAACCTCAGACTCTCAGGCCTGGTGGCTGTAAAATCGCAGTGACAGTGGACCCTCCCTCCGGGGTGGTTGTTAAGACCCAGGGAAATGAGCTCGCAGACTGTTTCCCACACACACATCAGGCTAAATCTGTTTTCTTCCCCCTCCCTAGGCACACATTCTGGCAGTTCCGCCATGATAACCCGAAGACGCGGGTCGGGAGCCCTCCCCCCGAGGGGCTCCCAGGCTTCAACAGTGGGGTGATGCTGCTCAACCTGGAGGCCATGCGCCAGTCCCCACTATACGACCGCCTGCTGGAGCCGGCGCAGGTGCAGCAGCTGGCCGACAAGTACCACTTCCGGGGTCACCTCGGGGACCAGGACTTCTTCACCATGATCGGCATGGAGCACCCCGAGCTCTTCCACGTGCTGGACTGCACCTGGAACCGGCAGCTTTGCACCTGGTGGAGGGATCACGGCTACAGCGACGTCTTTGACGCCTACTTCCGGTGCGAGGGCCACGTCAAGATCTACCACGGGAACTGCAACACCCCGATCCCAGAGGCCTAGGCCCCGCCCCGCCCGCCGTGCCCTCGGGCTCAGAATCTGGGCGCCTCTCGGGCAGGCCCGGGACAGCATTTGGACTCCTCGAGAGACACTGAAGGACGTCCTTGTGATCAGGTGCTGCGGCTCTCCCACTCAGGGGTGCTGTCTGAGGCCGCCCGGGGATGCCTGGCCTGCACCCCACTGGTGCTCTGGACCTTTTGCCTCCAGGAGCCAGACGTTGTGAAGAACACACACACAGACCTCTTCTGGTGGGCTAGGAAGCCAGTGTTTGAAAAGAATGAAGAAAACAAAACAGTGCCCCTTTGCCTTCAGCCCCCAAAGGCTGGAAATCCTTTTAAGAACTGGGCTTTCATAGACCAAATATAAATTTACTTTAAATCGACAGGTGAAACAGAACAAACAGCACTGCTCTAGCTCCTAGTGAGCTCTAAATGCGTGAGCCAGGGTTTACCAACCAACCCAGAGTTTAAGCATCCAAAGGAATGCTAGCCTTCCACACACACACGTGGGAGGCTGTGTGGTTATTCTCACAATGCTCCTGGCACCTGGTGCAGGTGTAAAGATCACCACCAACTGTGGCCACATAAGAAACCTGGTCTCATTATTTGAGCCTTCACAGTGTTCATCTCCCAACTGCATCACAGAACCTCATTATCCCTTAATCATCCAAGCCAGCTCCAGGTGACCAGACTCTGCTCAGAGATCAAATCTGCCATCAAGGAACAGTGATTGGCCAGCCCCAAGCACAGGATTGTCTGGATTGGGAAGACTCATTCCAAAGAGGAACCAGCCCAGTGGTACCGGAATGTAACCTTGCGACTTGGCAGGGATGTCACTCTTAGACATTCTAACCTTTTATTCAGAAGAATCATCCTCGTGACTTTATTGCCCCAGGTGAGACTCCATACCTTAGAAGAAAATTAGGTTGTCAATTCTTGATTTCTGCTTTCTGAGTTCTCCTGTAAGTGAGCCGTGAACATGAAGCCCATAGTGGTCCATTCTGTATAATCCAGCTGAGGTTCTTGGGGAAGAAATGTTAGCTTTTCATCTTTTATCAGTTTCATTTACTATCTTTTTTTTTTCTACCATGAATGAGAACAGCTAATAAATAATCTTTGAGAACAGAGTGATTTATGCTGTTTGCTCTCTGATCAGTTTCCTGAAGGACCTGAATCAAGAGTGTGATCAGTGTCACTCAGAGTCTCCCTCCCCACATGACTATCTAAGCATGCTTCCAGTGGGTCTCTAGGGCCTAAGAGGGAGAACGTCTGAAGAAGGTTGTATTGGACTCAAAACAGAGAATCATTTCATTCTAGGTATTGACAGGCCCGTCTGCTTCTGGGAGCAAAACTGCCCCCCATCAGTTCTCATCTGCTTACCCCTAAGTACCTGGCTACATTGTCCCCGGATGAAATGGTGCCCATGTCTCTCCTAACTCTCGGCTCTGACAAAATAGGACTGTTCTGTTAGGTACTTGACTTCCTAGTTATAGCCACCGAATATTGAATGCCTGCTGTGTGCCAAGCATTGTATTATGTGTGTGATCACACACAGTAAGATTCACGAAGATAATTCAGGTTCTAAAATTTATTGTAAGAAAATAACAAGAGATGTGGACAGAGTCATTGTTTATCACAACCTTTTTATAATAGAAAAAAATTGGTAGTAACAAAATGCTAAATAGAGTGGGTAAGTAATGTGTGTTATAACTGTATAATGGAATACTTTAGGCATTACAAATTTTTTTGAAAAATAATGCCTTGAAAAATGCTTATAGTATGCTATTAAGAATGCAAAATATAAAATTATATGTATTATTGATCCTAATTTTATTTTTTTAATTACATTATGGTATGTAAATATATTGAGACAGAGCCTGTTCTCTGTTTCATTAGTTCAATGCCTAAAAAAAAATCATGTTTCAAACACATTAAAAAACAATTATTTTAATGAGGAAAAGTGAATGAAACACTAGAGCATTTTACACTCACAATAGCAAAGTATTTTTCCTGCAGTAGTTTCAGTAGTTAAAATGTTTCTATAGCTTGAGTGGACTTTATCATTGCAAGGAAAAAGCAATAAACTGATCAAAATGGGCACAAGCCAAACAAAATCTTGTTTACCTTTGCAATTACCTACGCAGGAGCTTCCCCCTTCTCTGTCTTGAATAACCTGGACCTTACAACTCCATGGTGAATAGCAAAATAAAAAAGGAAACCCAGCCAGACCAACAAAGCCATCATGTGCTCCTGAGTTTCCACGAGCAACTTTTTGACAAATCCTGGAAGGCTTATTCCTGACTGGGATCCTGTTATAAGCAAGGAAACTGACCCCAGTATTCTTGCCTGGGAAATCCCATGGACAGAGGAACCTGGCGGCCCATAGTCCCAAGGGATCACAAAAGAGTTGGACTTAGTGACTAAATAACAACAAATGATCAATGCAGTGCAAAAATAACTGTGCTGTTTAATTTGCCTTGTGAGTGGAGCATAGGCCTGTAGATATGATTGGAACTGAAGTCCAAAAAGAGAACATTTCTGGGTAGTAGGATTAAGATACTTTTTAATCTTTATCTGTATTTACTTGTATATTTTCCATAATGAAACAAATAGTAAAGGCTGTAAAATTCTAGCCACACACCTTCCCTCCAGTTACAGGCAAGCATCATCCTGACCACCTTACAGTTCACTGTTGGCCCTGGTTACTGTCATCCATAAAAAAATAATCTTGGGTAAACAGGATCTGGGTTTTCTACTTTCCCTATGGATGCCCTAGTTCTCCAAATAAAAAATCTAATAATAGCATCTCCAGACTCTGCTTTCACTTCTGATATTGTCATCTTTTGTATGTACATATATGACAATGGCCTTTGGGAAACTTGTGGGCTTATTAAAGAGATTTATTTTTGTATGTGTCAGAACCAAAATACAGCATCCCCCTTTCCATAACATCTTATCAAGGTACAGTGTGCATGATGGTGCAGTGGGGCTCACTGGCTTGGGGGGCAAGTGCAGCTGGGTTTGGCACCTGCTTTAACCAAAGACTCTGCTCATCATCAGACCTGATCTCAGCATGGAGACCCAGCGTTGGGCTGAACATGGAGTCTGGCAGGACAAGCAGAGATTTCCAAACAAGCAAGGTAGTGCCATAGAGAGAATCTGTCTCCTCAAACAGGCCTGATTGTGAGCCCATGTTCTCCCCCAACCCCCTGGGCCATCTTGGACAAGCAAAATTGCTTCTTTCCTCATTTATAGACAGAGATAGCAAGAACTCTCTCTAAACAGTGTTGTTGGAAGCAAAGAGATGTGTCAGGCTGAGAAATAATACATAAAGGCAGGGGAAATCTTAAGAGTTACTACTTAAAACACTCTTTTAAAATTATAAACAAGCCATTTGGGGTACGTTAAGTGTCATCCCTAAACCCAGTGCATGATCAGATGCTTGCTTGTAGGCTATCCAGTTTTTTTTTTCTTTTTAAGCATGCCAATCTGCAGAGGCCTAGGTGTGTCCAGGAGATTGGGGGTCCCTGGGTAAACCCCTTCCCCCTTGGTTTGGTTTTTTCATCTGTGAAAACAAGGGGGTAGGGACAAGCCTCAGTCTCTGAGCAGCACCCTACCCTGGCTCTGTTGGGAGTAACGTTTGTCTGCATTCGTTGGTCTGCTCACGGCAGGGAGTTAAAACCAAATGCAGAAACTCCAGACCTCCACTCAGTCACCAACCTTGGGTTTATGACCATCCAAACTGAAACTCACTCAAAAGGTACTGTTAGCATGCCCCCACCCTGAAAATTGGGATAGGCAAAAGAAAACAGACAAACTGGGGGGTTGGAATGGTATTTAAAATCCAGAGAGAACCAACTGCCTTCCCTGAGCCCCCGCCCCTCTGCTTATAGCATACTGATTTAGCTATGGCAGCTAAAATCTCATCTGAGCTTTTGGCTTATGTGACTAGGTCCCAAAGGGCCTCCCAGTCAGAACAGCTCTAGAGATGGGTCTCACCCTGGGTGGGTGGCCTGAACCTTGAGCCCCCGACCTGGGATCCCAGTGGAGGTGTCTCAGGACACATTGAGTGGACTGGCTAGCTACCCCCTGACGTGCCTGCAAAGATCAGAAACCCTTCTGCAGTGAAGGCTTCTTTAACTGGGGCTGGCTCGGCTCCCAGGGTGTCTCCAGATAGACCCCCATTCTGAGGGAGACCTGTCTGCTCCACGCAGACCCCGCAGCTGTGTTGAGCATCCCACATACTCAGTGACTTAGAGGCCGGCTGCCATCTCCAGCACCCCCTTCCCTGATGGGATTTTTTCCAGTCCTTCCCTGAGCCTCACTTCCTGCACACAGGCCTAACCAGGATCATGATGCGTGGAGCCCAGGGTGTTTCTGGCCCCAGTGTGGAAACCTTCTGGGTGCCAAAATCAAGTCAAAAAGAAAAGATAATTTGAACAGATTGATTGCCAGAAGTGAAATTGAATCTGTAAGTTAGAAAAAAAAAAAAAAAAAACCCTGCAAACAAAAGTCCAGGACCAGATGGCTTCACTGGGGAATTCTACCAAACATACAAAGAATTTACACTGATCCTTCTCAAACTCTTCCAAACAATTGAAGAGGAGGGAACACTTCCAAAGTTATTCTATGAAGCCACCATCACCCTGATACAAAACCAGATAAGAGACACTACAAATAAACAAAATCACAGGTCTTTGATGAATATCTTTGATGAATATAGATGAAAAATTCTCTATAAAATGTGAGTAAACCAAAGCCAACAAAACAATAGATCATAAACAATGATTTAGCTGGATTCATTCCAGGGTTGCAAGCATGGTTCAACGTATGCAAAATCAATGTGACAGACCACATCAACAGAAGGAAAGACAAGAATTACACCAAGCCGCCCCGGGGAAAACCTAGTGGTTCCCCCCACCACCACCACTACAGCATTCTGCCATCTCTCAGGAAGGCCTCCTTTCACATCCCAGGCAGCCAGGAAGCTCCAGCCCTCTAACCCTCATCCAGCCTGGGCCTGGCACTTCCCACAGCACAGAGTATGCCTTTCTCCAAAACACAAAGCCGGGCTAAGAGCTCCTGCTAGATGTGTGTAGAATTTCTGTTTGAAGGTGTGCTGTCAGAGATGTAGGTAATCCTCTTTTGTTAGCAACAATCTGAGCCATAAAGTGGCAGAGAGGTCTATAATCTTCCATGTCTAAGTGAACACGTGCTTTGAAAAATGTAAGTCCTTGTTCACGGTCATGGACAGGAAACTTCCCAGGTTTTGGGTCCATCTCGTCCCACCTTTCAGAAAAACTAACCTTATCTTTAATCCAGAAAGCAGTGACAACTCCCCTCCCTTCCAGCATCCCTCTGGGGGTCCGTATGACCTCTTCTCTCCCGCCTGCCTTCCCAGGCTCAGCCTTCTTCCCCAGGGACCCCCAGGACCTCCTGTCACCCCGTGTGCTTTGAAACGTCCCATCTGTGGCTCCTACCATCTCACCGTGTGTCCAAACCCCTGTGTGCTGCAATCTAACCCCACTCCCCACCTCACTCTACAGGGCTTCTGCTGCTCCCCCCTCCATCACCACCCTGCAGGAAGCAGGCTCTGAGGTGGAGACATGTGCAAGAGGCTCTCTGGGGAGGGTTCTGTGGGAGTGGAGGGGGGCAGGAGCAGGACCAGGCAGGGAGAAGCTGGGCTGTGAGGTAGTCATGAGCAAGCCTCAGCCAGTCCCACACAGAGCTCTGGAGCTGGGGCCGCCTCGCAGAGGAGCCCCGGTTGGAGCCTGGTGGTTGGGCCTTCAGCCCTTGGGGAGTCGGAGCAGCACGCCAATGTCCACTCTGGAAGCCCTGACCCTGCAGCCCCGCTGCCCACAGCCGTCCTCCTGCATCTTCTTCCTCGGCTTTCCTCTGAACTACCCTTTGCTCTTTTTCTCCAAATCCTTCAGTTGGGGGCATTACCTGCTTCTGCTCTGCCTTCTTCTGGATTTCCTGGCCCCTTTCTCTGAGCAGAAGCCCAGGCTCCCTGATGACACTGCCCTGCTGTTACAGCCCAGCTTGCTCTGCAGTGCCAGGCCAGTCCTATGGCAAAATCAGGGAAGATCATCTGCTGGGAGCAAAGCCATATCTATAGTCCCTTCCCTCCAGACTCGAATCCCTGTGGGAGCCCAGTGGCCCACCTACCTCTGTGCTTTCCAAGACATAAGTGTAGCTCAAGGTTGTAGGGACACACTTGGCAGGAAGAGCAAGACCTTGGCCGTCTTGATGGGGGGGGGGGGTGCTCTGCAAAGTTCAGGAACCTCCTCAAACCAAGGGGGCATCTGCTGTTGCCAGGGGTGATGTCAGAGTTGTGAGCCTCTGCTGGGGCTGCCTCCTGCTCCCTGGAGGGGGACGGACTGAGGGACAGTTCTGCAGAGAGCATGGGCTTTGGAGGAGGGGCATCCAAGCCGATACCCCAGCATGACACTGTTCATCTTTCTGTGTCATGGATATTTACCAAGCCCCCGCTGTGTGTTAGATGCTGGGGTCACAGTGGCGAAGAGCATTAGCCAGTCCCCACTTCAGCAAAAATCCTCACACTGAGGCAGTCTTACTGCCATGGGTGCTCTGAGAGGGAGCTATGGGTGCACACAGAGGGTAACCTAGAGTCCAGACTAGGGGTGAGGGATGCAGTCTGGAGGACGCGATAAGAATCCCAACCTCTGGTGAGAGAGGGCATGGCTGTGTGGCCCTGGGGAACATACTTTACCTCTGAGCCTCTCTGTTACACCCATCCGCTGGCCGCTGTGAGGACTAAGTGAAATAACATAAGTATGATAGTCTCAGGTCCCAACTCATGGACCAGAATTCCAGTGGTGGTCCATGGTGGCTATTACTACTATAAATAAAGGGAGCTACCACTTTCTAGGGTTGAGGAAATTCCCTGAGCTCTGTGGGTAAGTATGAGCTAAGGACTTTGTTCTCTTTGGGGTTTGGGTGGGACTTGGGCTGCTTGGATTCTCAGTCTTGACCTGCACAGCCACCAACTTGCCATGTGACCCAGAGCAACTTACATCCCACCTCTAACCTTACTTACATCCTTCATAACAGAGAGCAGTTGGACCAGAATCTGTAATTCAAGGCCTAGCTGGAACCCAAGTTGGGGAGTAGGAAGGATCAAGATGGTGGAGTAGGAGGATGTGGAGCTCACTTCTCCCCATAAACAAATTTTTTTAAAATGTACATGTGGAATGATTCTCCAAGAAAACACACTAGAAACTGGCAGAAGAACTCTCATACAAACAAAGCTGCAAGAAAGATCTCCACATAACCAGGTAGGGAAGAAAAAAAAAAGACATCAGAACAGGGCCAAATCCCCTGGGAGGGATTTATAAAAGAGAGAGGCTCTGCCATCGGCTGGCTCTGGCCCTGGGGAGCCCCCTGGTCTGTTGGGAGGTCCAGTGGGACAGATAGAGGGGCTGGGGTGTATGCTGGGTTGCTCACAATCAGTGTGAAGACAGACTGGTGCTGACAGCCTCAGCCCATCCAGAATGCCTGCCAGACTGGGCTGCTAGTAAATGCAGCTGCTAGGTGCTGAATCTCAGGCAAATGGGCCCTGGAGGACTCAGCTTAGCTACATGGAGATGGCCTGGAGGGCCTAAGGTGTGGTCTAGTCTGAACCTTGGAGCCTACTGTCAGCACGCTCATGGCAGGGGCAGACTTTCTTGGCATGCACATGGTGGGGGCGGGTCTGCCTGCATCCAGCTTTGGTAGAGCACATACCAGGTGGAGCCACAGAGACTGTCTCAGGTGGACAGCCCCTCGGGGATGTTCGCAGTGGT